ATATATATATATATATATATATATATATATATATCATACCTTGATGAGACCGGTTTCTTGTCAAGTTCGTATTTCACTTTGCTCCCTTTCGGTATCTCAATCACCTGAAAGATGGAATAATAATAATTGCAAGAAAAATATTTTTAATTTTTTTTATTATTCTTATTTATGATTGATTAGTATGAAAAGAAAAAAAGGAAAAAAAAAAAGAGTACAACGTACAACATTAATAATTTGTGGAGCTCCAGGTCCTGCAAGAAACACAGACACATGATTTATGATAATTGGATTAGTGATGATAATCGTTAGTAATTAATTGATTAATTAAGTAATTACCAATCTCAAGATCATGCCAAGAATGGGCAGCAACAGCTCTCCTCGATAAAGACGAGAGGATTCTCTCGTTCAACCGTGGAGCGCTACCGCTCTTTGTGGGCGACGACATCATCGAATCTGCTTCGTTCTCGCCACTCATTTTGCTCCTGGATCAAATAAATAAAGCTAGTCATACTTATATAACAAACAAAAACCTCCTTATAATAATAATAAATGACAAAGTGCATGCTTATTATAAATCAAATAAAAATAATAATAATAACTATAAAAAAATGATGGAGTTATAGAGAAAAATAGTGGTTACCTGTAGAAAAAAAAGAAAAGAAAAAACAAGAAGATGTATGAAGGTGGTAAGATGAAATAGTAGTTATGAGGGATTTATATATATAGACCAGTAATTTGATTGGTCAACGCCACGTGTAACCATTAAGAATAAATTTCGGGTCTTGATTTTCAATAATAATCTGGTCTCGTTTCAATGTACTACTTTAGGATGATATATACTATGAATTTGGCAGTAATGGTGGTAGGGTTGCTTATATTAAGAAGCCATACGACGTCGTATAGTTAATCTGTCTTGAATAAAGTAATTAAATACAGAATTTGTTTTGAATTGTATACTGCATCTCATTAATTTTTTACTTGGTATTAGTAACTATTTTACGTACATCCATATGTATGTGTCTTTAATTGCGGGCATATTTGATATAATATTTTATATGGTGTTCACCTAGTGGATAAATCTTTTGTTAGGGGTGTGCACAAGTCAAAGTCGGCACGGCTTGGTTTTTGCAATAAACTAAATAAGTATCGATAATATCGATTTTTCATATTTTAAGAATCGAATATGTCGGCCTTTTCGGTTTGGTGTTAATCGATTTTTGGGTTTTCGGTTAACGATTTAGGTACCAATTCGGTTTATTTCCCGTTTCATCTATCGGGTCGAATTGGTTCGGCATAAAACTGATATTTGATTAACCGTAAATTTGGTCTTGCATTACATTTATTTGAGAAATTTAACAAATAATAACCCAAAATCAACTAATAAAAACATGTCACAACCCAAAATAAACTAATATAAAACATGTCACATGGAGGCGTTCGGAGGACAGAGGCGCGCTAGGAGAAGACGGTAAATATTTATACTAAATATCAAAACAACGCCGTTTGGATAAATCCGTTCGCTTTGGGGTCGGTTCGTAATTTTGTTATTCTCCATAGACAAACCAATATTTTTGGTTTTCAAAAAAAAAAAATTACCGTATATGCGATTTTAAATCGAGACGGTGCATATTCGGTTTTCGTTTCGATTTTTCGATTTCATGGTTTTTTTGCTCACCCCTACCTCCAGGGGCGTACCCATGCCTATGGCTGGCCCCTAATACTTCTCAAATCTCTATAAATTATCATGGAGAAACATAAAGAAATTGTATACAAGAGCATTAAACTTTGTATACAAAATATTGTATAAAAAAATTGTACTAGAATGGAGTTTACCGATGCACATCATCTTTGTAGGGGTTCTTTCGTAAAATAAACTTTGATGTCTCCGGTCCAAAATTAAACATTTATAAATTAATACCGTCGAGAATAACAAAATTCAAAATTGTTGTCAACCTACACTCCTTTCCTTGCAATTGTAGTACACGTGACCATTTGCGTAGAAAAACCCCAGTCAAAGGCCAAATCCCAATTTTCCTTCTCTACATTTGCATAGAAAAATCAAACCAATATTTTTCTATGTTTTTTCCAATTGTTTTTTTCAACCAATGAGAGACAGAGTTTCAACCATGAACATTTCTATATATTAACTAACAAATAACAACCAAAGATTGCTAAAATCAGAAAGAGAGCCGAAAAAAAAAAGAAAGAAAAATCATGAATCCTCCGACACAAAACGACGACGGCCAATCCTCGTACGCAATCCAGCTCGTGAACGCCTCGGTGCTACCGATGGCCCTCAAAGCCTGCATAGAGCTCGACGTACTCGAAATCATCCACCGGGCCGAGCCCCACGGCCCGCTCTCCTCTTTCCAAATAGCATCTCAAATTCCCAACTGCCACAACCCCCATGCCGCTTCAAACTTACTCGACCGTATGCTCGCCCTCCTCGCCAGCTACTCCATTCTCACATGCTCCGTCTCGAACGGCTCCCAAAAACTCTACTCGTTAGGGCCCGTCTCGAAATACTTCGTAGCCAACGCAAACGGAGTTTCCTTAGCCCCACTTTTCTTACTCAACCAGGACAAGGTCATGATGGACACGTGGCACCACATGAAGGATGCAGTTATAGAAGGGGGGTTGCCCCCCTTCAACAGGGCTTACGGAATGGATGCTAGCGAGTACGTAGTGAAGAAGAATCCGAGTTATTTCCAGCTTTTCAAGAATTCGATGAGTAATTACAACTCTATGTTTATGGAGAAATTAATGGATACTTACGGAGGATTTGAAGGGCTCGAGTCTATCGTGGATGTCGGCGGTGGCGATGGTAGTGTTCTGAATACGATAGTCGGAAAATATCCGAATATCAAGGCTATTAACTTTGATTTAGCTTCTGTCATTGAGAACAACAAATCGATTTATCCAGGTAACTATAACTATTTTTTCAATCAACTCTGGCAATTTATGATGCAAATCATTAAATATAAATCGCAAATTACGGTCACCCCTGAGGTAAGGTCAAATCACAAAAAACCCGTCATGTTTGAGTAATTACAGTCACTCCCCTCAACTATATGTATTGTCTTACGAATAAAACTTATCCCGTAAGTAAATTTCGGGGCATTCATTCGTAAAACCGTACAAAAATCTCGGTACACCAAAGTTTATACCATTTACCGAAACGAATTAATTTTTTTTGGGAAGTTCAGTTTTTTTTAATAAATTTTAATTTAAATACAAATACATATATAAAT